GACAATAGTGTGGACTATAGACTTGTCTATAGTTTAGACTATATTGTCAAGACAATAGTGTGGACTATAGACTATAGTCTGGACTATAGACTCGACTATAGTCTACACTATAGACTCGAATATAGTCTGCACTATAGACTCGACTATAGTCTGCACTATAGACTCAATTATAGTCTAGACTATATACTCGATAGTCTGGACTATAGAGTGTGAACTCTAGGCTTGACTATAGTGTGGACTATAGACTCGACTACAATCTGGAAGATAGACTCGACTACAGTCTAGAATATAGAATCTACTATAGTCTCTACTATAGACCCAATGGCAGTCTAGAATATCGACTCCACTATAGTCCAGACTCGACTATCGTGTGGACTATAAACCCGTCTATTATCCGGACTATAGATTCGACTATAGTCTGGACTATAGATTTGACTATAGTCTGGACTATAGAATCGACTATAGCTTGTACTATAGAATCGACTTTAGCTTGTACTATAGACTCGACTATAGTCTGGACTATAGACTCGACTGTAGTCTGGGCTATATACTTGACTATAGTCTGGACTATAGACTCGACTATAGCCTGGACTATAGACTCGACTATAGTCTGGACTATAGACTCGACTATAGTCTGGACTATAGACTCGGCTATAGCCTGGACTATAGACTCGACTATAGTCTGGACTATAGACTCGACTATAGTCTGGACTATAGACTCGACTATAGTCTGGACTATAGACTCGACTATAGTCTGGGCTATAGACTCGACTATAGTCTGGGCTATAGACTCGAGTATAGTCTGGACTATAGACTCGACTATAGTCTGGACTATAAACTCGACTATATTCTAGACTATAGACTCGAGAATAGTCTGGACTATAGACTCGACTATATTTTAGACTGCAGACTCAACTATATTCTAGACTGCAGACTCGACTATAGTCTGGACTATAGACTCGACTATAGTCTGGACTATAGACTCGACTATAGTCTGGACTATAGACTCGGCCATAGAATGGACTATAGACTCTATAAAATTCTGGACTATAGCCTCGTCTAAAGTCTGGACTATAGACTCGACGATAGTCTGAACAAAATACACGACTATAACCTGGACTAAAGTCTCGACTATAGTCTGAACTATAATGTAATGACAAGTAAACTCAAATGGTTACTTTGTACAACCTATGTAATCTAAAAAAAGATAACTGTTACTTTAACATTATTGTTTTTACTTTAACATTGTTGTAATTACTTAATAAATAATAATGTGTTTTATTTAAAACTTTTATAATGAAAAATTTTGTTCATATTTTCCAGTGTATTTAGCTGGTTAAAGTTTAAATTTGTAGTTGAAAAAAAAGACTGAGATTTTTTCAGTATTTATTGTCCAGTGAGTGGTCTTTCGAGTAGTTGTATGTTTATATGTTTTGGCCATGATAAATGTATCTAGGTATTGTAATTTACAAGTAATAAAGAAAATATGAGTTTTTTTTGTTTGCTGCTGCTGCTGTTTCTACTATATGTTGTCCCCCTAGTCAGGCTCTTTAGAGAGTCATAAATATTGCACTTGTATATTTATGATTTTACAACTAAAAAAAAAATAAAAGTTTTTTAAAAAAATTATTATGCTACTAACAACAGCAAAAAAATACAAAAAAAAACTTTTTAATATTCGCATTTGTTTTGCAACAACTATTTTCTATAAGCCGCTGGTGTCCGATAAATACAAACCAGTCAGCAGCAGCAACAACAACAGCAATTCATTCAGAAAACTTTTTTTCTTCTTTGTGGTTTGTTATATTTTTTTTATAAATTTCTGTGTTAAATGTCGAGTTTGGTTCACTGATGACTGACTTTGTTGGATAGATGGACAGATGGATGGTTGGCAGGCCAAAACAGAGCTATCCAAGCGTCTGGTTTGGTTAGGATGCTTTAAATCTGTGGATTGTTTAACACCACCAACATACCAGCCAGTAGTACATAAATGGTAGTTGTTTATTGTTGTGGCTGCTAGCCGCCACTGTTACAATTGTAGTGGCCTTCTGAAACATTGTTAACATTACAAAAAAAAAAAAAAAAAAAAAACAAAACAACATTAACAAACAAAAAGTGTTAAACAACAATGACGAGAGATGATGAATTGTTTGTCCATAAAAAAAAACTATGATTTTAATTTCATATTTTTTTGCACTATTTTGTACTCCTGCCCGCTGCCCCAATAAACATTGTTTTGTTCTTAGAAAAAAACTTATAATTTCCCCTACCCTTTCTTTAACATTGCCGCAATGTTAAGCATCCAATCAACATTAAACATCAACTAGTGAAGCAAACCAATATCTGGGGAAGGAGGGTTTTTATAAATTATATTTTTTCTATTCTTTAGATCAACCACTGTAGAGGGGCAGACATTTTTATATTTTTGTAGTTACACATCGATATTTTTATTTTATTTTTAAAAAGATCTTAAAGAAATGTCCACACCCTTGATCCGTCCGTCCGTCTATCTGTTAAAACACTACAGACGGACATTAAAGCTCCTAAACAGCAGGAACTAGGAAGCTGAAGTTTTCCCCAAATATGTTCTATAAATATCAGGTTTTCAGCAAAAAATCCTAAAAAATTCTTCTAAAATTCCCATAAAAGGCTTTACTTTATAAAATAAGCATCTGCAAGTTGCTTTGCCTTAACTTTTCTCGCAGTGTTTTCATATTTGTATTCAGTTGCAAAATAATGTTTTTTCTATAGATATGTATGTATTTTGTTGTAAATATTGCCTTTAGCTATATTATAGAGTTTTGTTTCCATTTGTTTGTCTTCCTCTCTAGTCCCTCCTCTTTCCTTTTTAATATTTCTGTTGCAACACGAGCTTTTATAGAAAATAACAACAACTTTTAAGAAACAAAAAAAAAAAAAAAACAATATAAAAAATAATAGCAATTTTTATTTAAATCTATATTGTAGTTTTGTTTTTCTTTTTTGCAACCCATTTATATGTATGTGTATGGAAAAAAAAAGAAAAGTATTTTCCTTTTTATTATTATTTTTTGCAATTTTTTTATTATTATTCTATCCAATGTTCGAATGGAAAACAAATAGTAAAGTGAATGTGTGTGTGTGAGGTTATAATAAACACACTGATACATGCATAAATATATGCATTTAAATTTCAACAAATTTAAATGCATGATTTTTGTAGAAATGTAGAATTTTTTTATAAATTTTATAAAATTATAATTTTTTGTTGTTGCATACATAACATTCTGCATGAAAACTGTTCCAAAAGAAGCAAAAACGTGTCCAACTCTTTGATGCGATTGGCAGGGATAAAGAAACAAAGAACAAACAAACAAACAAACTAACTACTACTACTAACTAACTAACTAACTAACTAACTAACTAACTAACTAACTAACTAACTAACTAACTAACTAACTACTACTAACTACGAACTAACTACTAACTAACTAACTAACTAACTAACTACTAACTAACTAACTAACTAACTAACTAACTAACTAACTAACTAACTAACTAACTAACTAACTAACTAACTAACTAACTAACTAACTAAGCTAACTAACTAACTAACTAACTAACGTAACTAACTAACTAACTAACTAACTAACTAACTAACTAACTAACTAACTACTAACTAACTAACTAACTAACTAACTAACTAACTAACTAACTAACTAACTAACTAACTAACTAACTAACTAACTAACTAACTAACTAACTAACTAACTAACTAACTAACTAACTAACTAACTACTAACTAACTAACTAACTAACTAACTAACTAACTAACTAACTAACTAACTAACTAACTAACTACTAACTAACTAACTAACTAACTAACTAACTAACTAACTAACTAACTACTAACTAACTAACTAACTAACTAACTAACTAACTAACTAACTAACTAACTAACTACTAACTACTAACTAACTAACTAACTAACTAACTAACTAACTAACTACTAACTAACTAACTAACTAACTAACTAACTAACTAACTAACTAACTAACTAACTAACTAACTAACTAACTAACTAACTAACTAACTAACTAACTAACTAACTAACTAACTAACTAACTAACTAACTAACTAACTAACTAACTAACTAACTAACTAACTACTAACTAACTAACTAACTAACTAACTAACTACTAACTAACTAAAACAAAATACATCGAACCTAAAAAATAAAAAAAATTATTACATTTTTGGCGCATATTGTGAAAATCGCCATTCATACTAATTTAGCATAATTCTTGGCATTGAATGGTGCTCAAATCAAAACCTTTACCTTTGTAAAATATTTGTTCACTGTCATTACCTGGTTCTTAAAATAATAAACACAATGCGTTCATACTAATGCAAAAAAATAAAAAACATATACATATGTATATTGGTTTTATAGTGTGAGCTTATTTAAAGCGGCATTTAGATCAGGATCATAAAAAAATATGAAGTTTTTTTTATAATCTTACGAGCGTTGATGATGAGGATCATCATAAAAATTGTATTATGAGCATTTATGATTTCTGTTCGTTTTAATGTTTCTTGTTTTTAACGCTGTAGAGGCTGTAAACGCAAAATAAAGTTCATAAAGGTTTTTTTTTGGTTTGAGTTGAGTTGAAGTAGTAAAAACAAATGAATTGTATTATAAAAATGGAGTGAAATATCCCATGACGTTATTTTTCTGCTTTTTAGGAAAAAACATTTTAATATTCATATAAAACTATAACAAAGACGAGTCAAAGTTTTCATGTCAAATATCTGCTAACTGCATGAATAAAGAATTTAGAAGTCATGAAAGCTTTTTTTACAACAAAAATTAAAGAAAAACACTTAATTTCTTTAACATTCTGAAACAAAATTTAGTTAGTTTTAATGAATCGATGTTTAATTTAAGAAAAAAATCTTTTTTGTTAAAGATTTGATTCGACTTTAACTAATTTTTCTTTCCTGTGATTCTTGTCTTCCAGGTGTGGTTTCAAAATAAACGCTCAAAAGAAAGACGCATGAAACAAATCACCAGCATGGGTCGGCCACCGTTCTTTGGAGGTGCTCGTAAAATGCGAGGATTTCCTATGAATCTATCGCCGGGTGGTTTAGATGATGGTCCCGGATTTCCCTATTTTGCGGCGGAGGGTAAATTTGAATTTGGCTATGGACCACATTTTCATCCACACGATGGACCCTTCTTTCCAGGACATCCTGGAGGACCAATGCCTTTCAATGCGCCTGGTAAGTTAACAAACTTTCCCTTTTAGCCCTTAAACAATGACTAACCTATAACTTAATTTACTTTTCTAGGCGGACCAATGGATCATACGGGTCCAATTCCTATGGTTAATGAATTTGGCCTAACACCCGAATCACAATTTCTTAGTCAGACTGCCGGACCTCCCATGAATATACAATCAGCGGGAGGTCCGCAACCACCTCCGGACCATCTGCTGGCCGCCCAGCAGCAACAACAACAAGCCCAACAACAACAGCAGCAGCAACAACAACAGTCACAACAATCTCAACAAAATGGCCCGCGTTCCGCATCACCTGAATTCATGTCAGCCGCCAATTTCAGTGAACCTCAAAATATGCAAAACGAAACGCTAGTTTGGTAATATTCAAAAGAGTTGGCAACACGTTTGCTACTATTAAAAACTCTAGCCGAATATCAGCAACAGGAGGATGTGGTTTGAAATGAACTCAAAATCAAACAATTCAACGTTTAGAGGGCTGGTCCTTATACAGAAACAAACAAAGTCGTCATTCAAAGATCATGGAAACACAACACTCAAATATTTGCTAAAAAACTACTTTAAATTTCTACTATTTACTACTAAAAAAAAAGAAAATTTTACAAAATATTTAAAGAAAAATATGGCTGCTTAATTTGATATTAATTGCTGAAGCAAATAAAAAAACACACACACACACACAAACAAACAAAACAAAAAAATATTAACATATAATTAAAACAATTGTAAATTGAATTTATCTATTTATTTATGTATGAATGTATTATATTTATATAACGATATATTGAATTAAATTATAATAATATAAATAAAAACTTTTTGGAGACTTTTTTTTGGAGAAATATTCATAGAGACTCCAAATATAACTCCTACAAACTGATTTCAAATTCAAAATTTTATGGCAATAGTAAGGAAATGACATCAATAGCTGAAGTTTTTATTATTTCACAAAAGCGGTTATCTTTTTTTTCGTATATTTTTTATGTAGTACTGGGGAGTCTGATTCTGTTGGCAAAAATTTTCTTCCACCCAAAAAATTTGCGGAAAAGTTTAATCATATTGCTGCATCTTATACCGATAGTTATTTGGGGATGTTCGAAATGCATTTGAATTGCGAATTCGAAATTGCCAAAGTGTTTAATGTACGGTAGTTTTTGATTCCTCTGAGAGCTCCGAACTCTTAACAATTTGAAAAAAATGGTTTATTACCCAAAAAATTTTCTGTATGTGACCTTATAACCGATCTGGGCCCGAATTTCATAATATTGTTTTCGAAATTGCTATCTGCAATGTTAAATTGATGTGGAAAGTAATTCTGGGTCCGTTTAACTATTGAATAGTGCCTTATATAAAATGTGCTCTAAAGCATTGAATGGCACAGAGAGCAATTAAATAAATAGTAGCATAAAAACTGTTTTACAATATTACAATACTCTAAAGCAGAGATAGACAAAAAGCTCACCTTCTTTTGTCCACACTCAAGCGCACACCGATGACTGCTCTAAGCTGGTTAAAGATAAAGAGTTCTCTCCTAAATTCTCTTGCTCTCATGTATAAGAAAGCAAACAAAATAATTTAAAAAGCTCATTCTCACACTCTATCTCTTTCTAAAGCCAATGATAATTGCTTCGGTTCTCTTTTCCTCTCTCTTCTTGTTTCTTTTACACATACTTAAGATCACACCGACTAGATAGCCGTCTAGAGTTCTCTAGCTTTCATGTACAAAAAGCAAACAAAATAATTTAAAAAGCTCTCTTTCTAAAGCCAATGATAATTGCTTCAGTTCTCTTTCTTCTTGTTTCTTTTCTTAAGAGCACATCGATAGCTGCTCTAAACTAGAGTTCTCTTGGAAGTTCTCTAGCTTTTATGTATTGGAAAGTAAAAAAAATCATTTAAAAAGCTCATTTTTAACACCCTAGTCTCTCTCTCTGTTTAAAGTAAGTGCTAATTTGAAGCTTCGAACTTTATGGAGAGAAATGCTGGTAATGTTAAGCAAATTATCAATGAAAAACTATGATGATTTTTCAAGAATTTTTCCCAAATTTTATTATGATTTCAAACGAAAGGATCGTTTTACAGAGACAGATTTTCATTAATATTCATTCTTGAGATTGAACCAAATTTTAACATATTATTTAAAAATTAATGAACAGATAGACGGACCTCGTTAAATCATATGCAAATGCAGATTCTAAGACGATTGATATGACCTAAAGGTGCTGGACTCATTACTAATTGCATTGAACTTTATAGAATTTAGATTGACAAAGTAATATCCTCCTAAAAGTTAAATAATATTTATGCCTCAAATATTATTAACTAAATGAGAATTATATTGAGTTTTATTAAGTTAAATGTAAAAATTCCATTGTTCGCTAGCTGTCTTAAGAAGCTTTTGATTGCTCTCGTTTTCTCTCTTTTGTTTTAATGAATAAGTTTGATTTGTATTGTGTACGTGCCAATTGTCGTTTAAGCTTGCTCTCTGCTGGCTATCGTTGCTCTAGTGTTGCTTTCATGAATATTGCTTAAACGTTGAAGTTTAATAAGTATTAGTTTTCACATCTGGAGAACATTTATTGACTTTTTAAGCAATTGAGCTGTTGAGTTCTTAGCCTGTTGATAATTTTAAATATTTTATCTTATTTCCAAGTCAATAAAGGTTTTCCTTTTACTATCTTGTTGATTTTTTTTCAAATCTGTTATATTATTGTTATTTATATGTTGTCAAACAACATCCTTTTTTATTTCCTGTTATATTTTGACCAACTTCCCTTATTGTTGTTATACGAAAAATATCCCTTATTTCTATCACACAAATTTTACTTTGAATTTTTCCCAAATTATCTCTGAACATTGCAAAATTTCTTAACTTTTAAGCAAAATCTCATTAAACATCAATCATTATATTGATTATGATCAAAAATAGTAGTCAATCACTTGAGTACGCATTCATGCATGCTGTATACACTTTATCATAAAAAAACGTCAATATTAAAAGAAATCTTAGATTTTTGTCAGTTTTTAAAAATCTACTTTTTTTAAGGAAAACCTAAAAAAACTTTTTTATTTTATTTCAAAATTGAAAAAATCCTAAAATTTAAAAAAATCTCCAAAGCTATTGATGACTTTTTCAAAATAACAAAAAAATATTCTCTCCAACACAAAATTTCAACTCTACAAAAAACTGAATTTTGTCTGTAAATTTAAAAATTTATATATTATAAATAAATAAAACAAAAATAATAAAACGGTAAAACAACCCACAAGTATAGAAAATTAAATAAATTTAAAACAAAAAAAACTAAATAATAAAAATCTAAATTTAAATAAAACTGGTATAAACAAAATTTAAAACCTCTATGTATCTACTAAAATAATACATATAAAAAAAATTTAAATATATTTATAAAAAAAATCAAAAACAAATAAACCGAAATAAATCAATTAAATCTAAAATAAAATAAAAAACTAAACAAATGTATATAAAGTTAAACAAAAATATAAAAACTAAATAATAATAAAAAAAACAAAAAAACTAAAATATAAAAAAAATTAGTGTTAGCTTAGTTAGTAAGTCATTATTAGTTATTATGATTATTACGATAATTATAATAAACATTTATCATTATATATAATTATATATATATAAAAAAAAACAAATCAAAGAAAAAAAATTAAGAAAAAAAAATAAAATAAATAAAGAAATTGTTATCTAAAATCATAAATAACAGTTTTTATAACAAAAAATCTATAAACAAAAATAAATGTTTTACTTGGAAAAGGATTGTAGTTAAACGGCATTTGGAATTTAACTATTTAGAGCAGTGATAGGCAAAGAGGCCTCCTGCTTTTACACTTAATAGGCGGTTCAATTATTATTATCACTTATTTTTATATTATTCTATATAAACCTATCCAAAACTTAAATCGCTTTTAACTTTGTTAAAAGTCCTTTAAATTGAAAATATATCTTATATTGTGATCATTCATAATCTTCCCAAATCGATCTTTTGCATCTAAAATCTTAAGATCACTTATATACTCCTTCAAAATTCGACTTCTTGATCGAAATCCTAGAAAAAAGTAAAATTGCTAGTAACTTCTTTAAAACACGTTTGTGATCATCCATGTTTTTCTTCAGTTAGTTCGAAAGGAGAATGTGTTTTCCAAGGCCTCTATCGGGCTTGTTGTACTCTCCTATACCAGTGTCTCTGGTGGAAATCGAACCCACGTCTTCTGTTCTGACAAACTTCAACAGACTAACTACTAACCTATAGGAGGTACAATTAAAAAATTGAATTTTCAAGTTTCACATATGATCGACCTCTTTGATCAAAAACCCAAAATCGCACAAAATTGGTTCCCCTATCAATTTAAACATATTTTAACGAAGTTGTAAGAAATTTAGAGTTTTTTTTTAGGTTTTTGGTTAAAAAGGTGGATTTTTTGTGAAAATATGAGTGAACCTCTTAAATCGACCTTTTTTATCAAAAACCCAAAATCGTGGTCGCTCATATTTTCCTTAAAAAGTTGATATTTTGGACGAAAAACTAAAACCGCACTTACATTTCCCCCCAAAATTCGAAATTTCTTTATAAAAAACCTAAAGAAATCTAAAATCGTTTAGAACTTCATTAGTTTAGTTTAAAAGGTATAATGTATACATCCACTCGGAGACCCCAAGATCTATTGTAATTCCCTTTAATAAAGAACAAGGAAAAATAAAAAGAAGACAGAAGAATAAGAGAAAGATGAGAAGATATTCCCTTAATGAAACCCAGAATGTCGACTAAGTTGCACCCTGCTGCACTCCTAGTTCATCATGGAATATTTTACCTAGCCGTCACAGTCTCAGACTCTGTATTCTGGGACAGTAAATATGCCGTACATAAAATATGCCCTACTGTTTCCAGTTCCTCATCGTCGTCACACAACCTTTAAAAATCCTGTGCCTTAACGACCCCATTACTCCTACTAAAATCCTTATACTATTCCTATCCAGTCCTAATAGTACTCAATTGCTTTTGAATTTAACTTCGGCCATAGTTCCCTAGAAACCCTAAAGTCCAGCCTACTGTGCCAGAATCGGTTGGTGGAGTTTATCGGAGATTAAAACTTCATAACAAAACATTAAATTGTACAAATAAAACTTATATATAAATCTTATATAACCACCTTAAAATGTTGAGGTTTAAAGTTAAATTCGGAAAATGGTCCTATTGGGTCATTTTAGTCCTATTCTTACGGAAATTATATAGAAATGGAAACTGTGACCAATTTCTTAGAATAAATAATTTTACTTTAATTTTATACTTGTACCATCACTTAAGAGGATTGAAAGGGGGAGGGCCAATTATAGGCTGATCCAGGTAGGAAAATGAAGGTTACTTTAAATTGCTTTATGTCAAATTTTATTGGTACACAAATACATTTAGCGGAGTTATGAAGGCCAAAAGAATTTTCTGAATGGGTCTTTAGATGTGGGATAGAGTCATATATGAGATTTTTGTCAAATTGTATAGTTATACTTTGATTTCTAAGTCAGTTGTGAAATTTCTTAAGGGGCCTTATATGGTTATCTGGCACTGACTC